ACTACACACACACACACACACACACACACGACACGCGCGCGACGTATTATAGAAAAGAGGTCGAGGAGAAGCCAAGCAGGACAGGCAACAGAAGAGCAACCTCTGCTGCACGAGGGGCTTGAGAACAGGTTCTGGGAAGGAGCCTTGGACCCTGAAACAGGAGAGTTTGGCCGCAGCAGCTGTGCATGGGAGCAGGGCAGGAATTTCTTTCCTGTTCTCTGGCAGGAAAAGGGTTGTGCTTTCTGAGAATACCCAATGCCAAGCACAGAGAAGGAACTTAAATTATGAATCAACAACCCTTGTTCAAAAACAAGAATGAATCAAGGTCCTCGATCCTGCCTGCAGGCAGGGGAATGTGGAAGATGACCTCTTGAGGTTGTCCTCGACCTGGGGTTCAAGGTCATGATTGTTTCTCTTTCCCTTTTTCAGGATACAAACACTTTGCTTGAGATGCTGGGTATGTGCTGGGCATGGGGGTTTCTTCCTCACCCTCAGGTCTATTTAGCTCCTCTTCCTCCCTACAGCAACTCCCAGGGACCCCGTCTCAGCCATCTCTGGAGCTGGACTCTGGGCAGAGCCCAAGCCTGTCCTGGGAATCTGAGGGTCCCAGGTGCCTGCCCTCCTGGAACACGGAGTGGACAAGACCCCACATCCTGCCTTTATCCAAAAGGCTCGGGCCAGATGTGCTCCAAATTCAGAACTGGCTTCTGATCTGAGAAGGCTGGTTCAGTGCACACGCACTGTACGGTGGAACACCCCCTAGTGAGGTCTGGGGCAGCATCAAGTGCCCTCCATCTTCAGAGAACCATAAGAATATTCACCCTCAGAGGGATAAAGGAAGACTGTAAAGAGCCTCATGGCAGTTTAGGTCAGGTTTTGCAGCCAAAACAGTTAGGAAAAAACTTCAGCGTTCAGAGCTTTCTGAATGCAGAGTTGAGGAGTTGGGGCGTGGATCTGTGCTGGCACTGATGGCAGGGGGTTCAAGGAGGTGGCCCCGTCCTGGGGAAAGCGGGCAAGGGAGGCAGCGGCTCCACACACAGGCTGTGGGGCGGGTGGGAGTTTTTATGTTTCTCAAAAGGGAGAATAGGGTTTAAAAGTCATAAACCCCTGGTGTAGGCCAAGAACATAGGCTTCGGAGGTTGGCAGACCCGATCCGGAGCCACGTCTGTCATTTGTCATTTACTAGCTGTGTCTGAGGGCAAACTAACCTCTCTGAGTGAGCATCTTCATCTATAAAAGGGGCATAATAGCAGTAGTGCTGTTGTTGTCTTGAGGGTTAAACGAGACGACAGTGAGACAGGAGGGAAGGGCGCAGGGCACAACCTTTAAAAGAATGACTTAGCTGTTGATACGACAAAAACTGGTCAGAACCAACGAGGCCCAAGATGGAGGAAGACCCGATCTCCAGTGCACCTTGAGCCTCATTATATGCTCATTGTCATACATTAGCTGCTAAATGGCGCTCCCACAGGCGCCAGGACAGTTCCCACGCTGGCCATAAAAACCCAAAAAGTGGGCAGTGGCCCAGTTCCTCGAAATCCTCACCCCTTTCCCCAAACAGTTGGAATAATTCTCCCACCTGTTAGCATATGAAATTACCCTAACCATAAAAACCAACCACCTCTGCACCCCAGGGCTGCTCTCCCTTCTGAGATGGGCTGCATTCTGTCTACGGAGTGTGTATCTCTCTAAATAAACTTGTTTTCACTTTACTGTGGTTCACTCTTGAATTCTTTCCTGCATGAAGCCAAGAACCCTCACTTGGTGGGGTGCGTCCCAGGAACTCGCCCGAGACCTGGGACCATCCTCTTGTGCCCCATTTTCTTGCAACAATAGAAGTAGGGGGACCTATTCAAGGGTCTGACACAGAGCAAGGGTTCAAGAGAGATGAGGAAATGAAATTATTCTTTAATTTAGAACTATTGCACCTGCTGCAATTTGTAATTTATTCTCTAAACTCCCAGATCAAGGCAGGACCCCAGATCCTTTTCTCCATTTGGCCAGTCTCATGGGAGGGTCTCATATACTCCTGAGTCCCCCACCCCTAACCCCATGCCCCAGCATCCTTGCTAAGATAAGGGAGAAAGCAGGCTGACTGGGCCTTTTGTGTTATGTGCCCTCACCCCCACCTCCACCCCACCAAGAAGGAAAACCCCACAGACCTTCTGTCCTCATGTACCTGATCCCGGTTCTTCCCCAGCTCAGAGCTCAGGCTGCTCAGGGTCATCTGGGTCTCTGTGATATTGTGGGAACATCTGGAGAGGACCTCAGCCAACTGTGGGGCAAAAAGGCAGACCCCCAGGGGGGTCCTCAGCTGGAGGCTCTGATGGCAAGGCTGGCTGGAGCCCTGCCCCTCCCCCGGCTCTGCTCCAGACAGCCCCCCACCAGCCCCATCCTCACTCACAGTCCGCAGCTTGGCCCTCAGCTCTGCAACTCTCATCAGTTCCTGGAGCTCAGGCCCCCCAGCCACGCTGCCGAACCTCGAGGGATGGATTAAAGCAGACGTAAGGAACACAGCAACCAGACACAAAGTGTGGTCTCAGATTGGATCCTGGTTTGGGTGAGACCAGGTAGATCAGAAGATTGGGGGGATAACTAGGGGAACTGGAACATGGGTGGGTACGACAGAGGAGACTAAGGTCTATTGACACGGGTGGGGCAGGGCTCAAAGCTGAGAAAAGCAGTAAGTACAGGAAAAGGGCAGGGTGCTTAGTACCTACACGCACACAGGGCAGAACTGCCTAGAAGGCCATGTTCTGCTTGGGAGTGACGATTACCTTTGGGTGGTAGGATATGGCATTTTTATTTCCTTTTTGCTTATCTGTGTTTTCCAACTTAGTACAATTAGCACCTACTGTTTTTACAGCTGTGACAATTGGGGTAAAAAGAACCCTGTGTGTCTTGGCTTGGGAACGGAGGGGAGGGGAGGGGAGGAAAGAGGAGTGGGGAGAATGAAGGCGGGGATGCTGCCCACTCTGTTCACCATTGTATCTCCAGGGCCCAGGAAAGTGTTTGGCACACAGTAGGTCCTCCACATGAGGCAGGAGGGAAGGGGGCAGGGCACAACTAGTGAAGAAACGACACAGACATTGAGGACAGGACAAACTGGTTAGAACCAAGATGGCAGAAGGTTTGACTTCCAGTAGACCTTGAGTCTCACGGCACACACACAGGCGCTATGACAGTTCCTAGGCTGATCATAAAAGGTCAGAAAGTAGGCGAGCGGGGGCATTTCCTGGAAGTCCTTGCTCCTTCCCTAACATAGGTGGAATAATGCTCCTACTCATTAGCATATAAAATTACCAAGCCCATAAAAACCAACAACTCTGCGTTTCATGGTTGCTCTCTCTCTTGCCTTCTGAGACGGGCTGCACTCTATGGAGTGTGCATCTACTTTTACTTTAAACACCCCACACCTCTCAGTCTGTCTCCCTCTCGCCCTTTGAGATGCCTGCGTTCTGCCTGTGGAGTGTGTATCTCCTGAGCCACTCTCTCTTCTGAGTGAGACGGACCCCACTCTGTCTATGGAGCGTGATTCTCTCTGAATAAACTTGCTTTCCCTTTACTATGCCTTGCTCTTGAATTCTTTCCCGTGCGAGGCAAGAACCTATTTGGCAACATACACACGAGTGTTGAGTGAATTATCGAACACATGGATGGGTTTTAGGGCATGGAACACTTTACAGCAGAAGAGGATGAGGCCGACCCAACCCAACGGGACAGGGAGTCGGGAGGGTGGGTCTGAGTCCCAGTCCAGCTGCCACACCTGCCATCTGCGCGATCTCGTAGTCGCTTTAGCTCTCTAAGCCTCAGGCTCTTCATCTGTACAATAGGGAGATAAGCTCCTTCCTGCTACCGAAAAAGGTGTTCGTGGGATTGGATGGGACCTCAGAGATAAAGCACATGACTAGAGAACATGTTTATACAGACACACAATTTTGGGGGGTGTGGGGACGGGGAAGCACTGAGACTCCCCGAGCCAGTCCAGGCCCCTGGAACTGCGCCCCCTGAACGGTGCCGCCAGATGGCAGCACCTGCCAGGGAGGACCAGGGAGCTTCGGGACAAGGGCAAGGACGCTCTGCCGAGGGAGCCCGCAGCAGGAGGCGCACCCGGTGGGAGAGGCGAGTAACCAGGACGCGCAACAACGGCGGCTTTGTGCCAGGGGCTCGGGCGCCTCCCAACATGAAATTCAGCTCATTAAGAGAGCTCAGATTCCACTGTGGGAGGAGCCAGTGGCTTCAGACTTCAGAAGAACCTACAGGTCTGGGGACGTTCAGAACAGAATGAGATTGCGAGGCACTGGCCTCTCATTTTGAAAATGAGGAAACAGAGGCCCAGGTAGGAAAGGTGACAAAGGCCTGAGGCCAACAGTGAGTCAGTGACGAGCTTGGGCCTGGCCCTCTGACTGTCTGCTCAGTGAGCTTCCCACTCTCCAGACGCCTCCTTTCCGGGAGGCCTCACAGCAGGCCCTCCCTGAGCCCAGCTCTCCACACACAGCACCCCTCAGGGCGGCCTCGGGCCAGAACGGCCGCGGGGGAAACAGCGGTCGGCAGACGCTGGGACTCCGGGCCCGGGCTAGCCTGTCACCCCCCACACTCGTCAGCCTAGGGAAGGTGGGCACACAGCCCAAGTGCTTCCTGCATGCATTTCTTTCCCACTCAAGAACCCACAAGAGACCCCTATTGGTCATTTCCCTGGATTCTCACCTCCCAGCTAGACCTCAGGACCTGCACGCGTTCTCCCCTCCCTCTCGCCCCTCTCCGATTCCACTCTGGGATATTTTCCGTCACAACTGTGGCTTTAGCAAACCTCAACAGCACCTCCCCACCCTTTGGTCGTGGCCTCCTTCTCTCTCTGCATAGGGCCTGCTAACCCAGGTATTCTGTCACATTCTGGCCTGAGAAGCCTCACTTCTTCCAGGAAGATCTTCGTGGTTGCTTCTACCCATCTCTAGTTTCCCTTTACCCAACCGTCCTGCCACCTGCACATGCTGTCCCCTGGGGAGCGAGGACCCTCTGCAGGCCTGGGGCCACCTCTATCCCTGGAAGCCCGCTCGGTGCTTGGACAGAGCTCTGCTCAGAGGAGGATACTGCTGGCTGATACTGCTCACTGTAGCCCCTCATCTCTGGCATCACCTGAAGGGTGCCCAGCCATGCTGGGGGCTCATCTTGGGACACACCCTC